AGCAATTTGTAGATGAAATCCATATTGAACCATTGAGCTCAGGAATATTGTGCTCTCAAGTAGACAGTTCTCATAAGAGCTCTTCTAAAAGAGCCCACAAGTGTGAAGATTCCTTTCATATTTTTCACTCAGTGTTTAAAAGACAGCTGAAATCAAAGAGAGCTAAACTGAATTCTTCTCCAGCTGATCCTGGGATGAGAGTGGATCAAGAGAGGATGACGGAGTTCAAGAAACTTCAAAAGAAACTATCACCACTTAAGAATTGCTGCTGCAAAAATCAAAAGTACAATGTTTTGGTCACAATAGTACATCCTTGTCATATCAAAGAAATACAGGTGAAGACTAGACCAACGTCTTCGTGTAAAGTTCCTGTAGCAACAATTGTAGTTATTGACCAGTCTGAAATTGAGAGAAAGGTGGTGCTGTGGCGTGGTGCTGCATTTTGGTCACTCACTGTGTTTCCTGGGGATGTTGTACTGCTTACGGGTGAGGATTCCTTTATTTGCTTTTTTTAAAATGTGTATCTTTAAAGTGCCTGTTTAAAGTAGAACAATACGTAACCAGTAATTTGGAACTATGGCTAAGCATTTGTAAGTGTCTTTCGTACGTCACTTAATCGCTTAACATCACTTTGAATTCTCAGCCACCCTGCCAGTGGAACGTCGGCTGTCCCATAGAAGTTTGCCCATCTTTTATGTGTAGTCTTTGGTCGGAGGCACAGCAGTGCATTGACACTACAGTGGTGCCACAGGGAGTCAGGTGTACTCTGTAACCTGTCTGTGTTTTAAAACAGTTGTTCCTGAAAGGTAAAAGTGCTACTACAAACCAGATGTACCTAGTTACTTGATTTATAGACTTTTTTGTAATTCTCTGCTGTTGGACCAGCAGATGGACCAGAAAATGGTGATGTTATGTTCAGTCTCAGGATGAGGAGTACTCTTCCTCCTGGGAAGGACTTTGTAGCTTAGCACCAGCATCTTGAGATGGATCGTGTTGTGAATTAGTAACTGATGTAGACTGCAGAAATATAAAATGCTGTTTGCAGTTCACCTTCTTCGTAACATGTCAGCTAATAAAGAAGATTCTTCCTGATATATCCTTTGTACTCTTTAATACCTAATAGGAGGAGAACCCTCCCTTTTTAAGAGAACATGTCATGTAAGAGAATGCAGTACTATAAAAACAATATTGCACCTGATTTAGGGCTGGAGTTGACCAGAACTTGGTAGTGATCTGGCCATTTAAGTTTTGCAATATGCAAAAAATCACACAACATAAAACTGTTTGAATACTTCTACAGTTTAAGATGCCCGTTTCTCTTTTTAAGAGTTCTTTATGTGCTTATAGGAAGGTGCAAAGGTAGATATTTTAAAGAGATTGAAGATAAGCTGGGCTTTCTCTTTTCTTCTTAGATGTTCTTATCTCAAAATGCATCAAAAGTGTTTCTGGGTAAGCCTAGTACTTTACTACTCATTCTGAAATGTTGCACAATAATAATTTACCCAATACAGTCACCCACTTCACTTATACAGTATCTGCTATGAGGCTATTGAATATTTTATATGAATTGAAGAATTACGTCAAACTATTGAGAAAATTTGATTAACTCATTGTAAATGGTCTTGATAGATTACAAAAATCACTTTGTTTCCAAGTGATCTCTTTCAAACTGTCTTTCACACTTGTATGTGTGATGGTTCTGTAGTCAAGAAAAGTATACACTTCAATATTGTTGATAGATGAGTTGATAAGGTTGCTTTTTTCTTGCAGATATAATAATGTATGAGAATCTTTGGTGTGGAGAAATCATGCTGCAATCTACATTTACCAGTCAGTTACTGAATCTGGGGAACTGCTCAGCTCTCAATCCAGAAGAATGTAAGATCATAGTGCATAAGTTTCCACAAAAATCACAGTAAAATAGCTATTTAAAGTACTCCATTTTGTTGGCAGTGCTTCATACACAGGATAAAATGGAAATGTGAGCAACTGAGAGGTACAAAACACTATAGGAAAGTGTGACAGGAACACCTGTGGACATGGTGACATCAGATAGGCACGTGGAGTTTATGGTAAAGGTGGGTGGTTACCACTCAAAACTCTGAAAAACTGAGTTTAAAAAACTTAAACTTAGCTTAAGAAACAGCAATTATTCCAGGACTCAACCATAAGAAGTCTGAGATTTCATGAGGATTAAATTTTTTGCAAAAATTTTAGAGGCTTAAAGAGTAAGTAGATCCATTCAGGGAAAGTAATTCATTGCAGGCTGTTAAGCACAAAGTCTTTAAAGATAACTGAACCATGGAGGGTTGGAGACTAAGGGGAAAATACAGTGGAAATATCACCATGAACTTGCATTGTTCTTACTGTCTTCCTGATGTCCATTATTGCCAGCTATTTAAGGCAGGTTCTGGGGTAAATGATCAAGAACGACTGTTCTTCTTACCAAGCTATGATACAAGATTTCTTCCCTATTTTTCACGTAACTCAAAATACAACTAATTTGAAGTACAACTTAGCTTAACTTTGGGACGTTATCGAGAGGAGGCAGATGAAGTACAGTTTAATTTTGGATCAAGTGTTGCACATCTCAAGAATTTCTTGCCTTAGAATTATTGTGAAATGCTTTTGGTTTTGTCAGTGTAAATATGTACCAATGTCTAAGCTTAAAAAAAAAATAAAAAGGGGGTGTCCCTTTAACTTTGTTTTTTCTCATTTAAGTTTATCCTGTAGTGGACGGTGGTGTTCTCCATGGTTTATTGGCGTACATATCATCAGAATTTCCACACTTCAGAGACATTCCACGAAGACAGGTTCAGAGACTGGATAGTGTTCAGTATATGCAGCTAGACCAGCTCCAGCCAAATACATTGGTTCACTCAATCTTGAAAATTATCAGCATTGCCATATTAACAGGTAAGTTCAGGCTCTAGACTTCAACTTCCAGAACTTCAACAACAGGTGACACTTAAATAGTAGTTTTGCAAGGCAGTTCTGGTTGTTTCCCATTCCGTACATCAGTGTTTGGCATAGGAGTCACAAGTAAAACCTTTGTAATGATCCACTGACGGGGGCCATAGCAGTTAGAGAAATGGAGTTAGAGGCAGGAGGGAAACAGTGACTGTAGTCAGCTGCTGGAAGGAGGTTGCTGCACACTAGCGCTGATCAATAGCGTACGTGTCTGTGGGAGAAGCATGTAGGCAGTGGGCACGGATAATCGGTGTTCCTGCTCTCTGAGGGATTGGTGTGTTTTCGCTAAGGAATGAGCGCTCGCCACGGACTGCAGTTACTAATGTATTGACTGGTCAGTGAGATGGCTTGAGCGTCTCCACAGCTCCAAACAGCGTGGGACCTGATCTTCAATAAGATGGAGGATAGAATAGAGATGCAGGTACGAAGTATAGTGTTGGGAGGTGGAATGGCAGCAGGAGTATCTTAGATATGAGGAATGTGGGCTCGAAATCCTTTTCAGGGAAGATAGGTGTGTATAGCAGGAGTGCTGAAAAGAGGGAGATACTGCAGTCACGGTGGAGGAACATAAATATGTTTTTTAATGGCTCTTGATATACGAGAGGTACATTCTTGCTGTGGACTTGAGAAAGGGGGCTGGCTTATGAAAATGTCATGTGGGACAGTCAAGCTTTACTCATTCAAAGCTCACCTGCCAACTACCTTCCATGTAAGCATCCTGTCATTAAAGGAAAATTTGATTGCACTACAAATCGTGTTTTTCAGAATGAAATAAGTTATTGATTATTTTAATCTACTGTTGTAGGATTTCCTTGCCTTTCTTACTCTATAAAGGACCTATGTGGCTCTTTTCTAATGTTTTATTTGGAACGTTTCCTGTTTTTCTTTCTATTTTTTCCTACTTAGAATAGATTTTTTTAAAGCTAAACATTCCTGGTTTCTTAAATACATGCAATATTTCTTTATAATAACCCTTACTTGTGTGCCTTCTTGTACAAGTTCTTTTTGATTTTCAACACTGGAAAATGCACAATGTGAAACTACTAAGATGTCTTACTGTGATAATCCTATTTCTTCAGCATAGGCACAACAGAGAACTACCTCATTAATATAATTTGTTTTGGAAATCTGAGTTTCCTGTATATTTTTATTGTAAAGACTCTTCTTCCTGAAAGAATCATGGTCAGCAGTCCCTGTACTGATTTTTTTGAGTTTATTCTTCTGTCACACGTTCCTTTTCTTCTAATAGTGAATGCAGTTATTTCGGGATTCCTTTTCTGAAGCAATTTTCCATGTTAAAATTGATAATTTGTTTCCATTTCTTCATCATCGGGCCTTACAGCTGCTTTGTAGCTTTTTTTCCACCTTCTGAAATGAACAAAACCAAATTATCTTGGGGCATTCTCACTATTTCATGCAGTGTCTTGCCATGTTTTTTTAACACGCTTTGGGCAGTTAAAGACCACTGGTCCCACCTGGGAGAGGAGTCTTCCTCTCTTTTCCCCGCATAGCTGTTCTGATTACCTCTTCTTTACAGTACCAGTGTTTCTCAGTGCTTGACTTCAAGCTTTGCACATAAATTTAATCATATTGCACTATCACCTTGTATTAGTGCTTGTATTAGTAAGAATCGAATTTTTACCCACACTGTCAATATCATGTTTATTCATTATAAATGGAAAAATTTGAAGATAGAAATCTTCATAATTTATTACTGTACATAAATCTCAGAACTGTTAGATAGTTAAAGCAAGAGTTCTTGTTAAAAAATTATTTGTTTTTAAAAAATATTGTAGTTTTCGGGTGGAACTGAAACTTTCAGGCAGTATCCTGATAAGAGTTCTGTAGAGATCTTAGTTGTTTCAATTTATATATACTGTTACTAATCCTCTTAGTGTGCTTGTACGTGACTATACTTTTCTTTTATGTGAAAACTTCTAGAGAAATGCTTCTTTCGGTGTATTCCACAGAAGTTACAGGAACTTTAACTGCCCATTATGACAGTCTGTTGCTGAGAGATTGAGTACAGTTTCTTTCCACTTATGTCAGTCAGGATGAGTGGGAGCTGAAAGATGCTCAGATACCTGCTGTTTCAAAGGGAGGTGTCCAGTTGCTGACTATTTAGGTGGATAAAGGTAAATTAATATACTTTACGCATTCCTTCAAACTAGATTCATGTTGCTGAAGAAATCAGATTGCTTTCATTCTGTCCTGAAGAAATTGCAGGTATATTCTTGTTTGCTTGTAATTGTACCATAAAATACAGTAGCAGCATGATTTCATCTTAATGTTGAGGCATGTGGGTTTTGTGTGTTTATATGCTTTTTACTATAGAAGTCATATAATTTCAAACTCTTTCAGAATCTGTGTATAGCTACAGAGGTGGCAACCAAAGAAAAATTATTCTAACAGTAGAACAGAACAGAGATCAACACTATAGGATGGTGCTGTGGGGAGCAGGGGCTGCCTGGTGCCCTCAACTTCAAAGGAAAAAAGGTAAAGTCCTTCTACCTGTAGGTAGCTGTTAAAGGATTTTTGTGATGCTATTAATATCTTTAAAATGCTCAGTTGGTAACATTTTTCCATTCAACCTTTAAATATTCCCTTGGAAGGGCAGCATATTTGATACCAACTTTAACATGTCTCCTCTGTTTAGAAGCAGTGCCACCAGCAACAGAATTTGAATGCACTCACTTTAGAAGACTGAGAAAGCACGAGCGTTTAGAAACTTGCATCTAGACACAAGATGCACTGGTGCCTAGTTATGTAACTATAAAAAAAAAGAACTTGCGTGTTAACTACGTTATCAGTTTTGCTGAGTCTTCCTTATCATTGTCTGGTTTAGCATGAATCGCTGGGGTTTTTTCTACTTCTGATTTTCACTCTCTGCTTTCCACCCTACTGCAGTGTCAGGCTTTATATCCTAATGGTCTTGCTATCAAGTCTAGCTGTAACTGACTGAAAGCATCTCTTGCAAGAATTACACAGCCTGTGTTCTAGCAGTGACTACTACCAAATTTTGTTTTATTCCTGGTTTTGTTCTTTTAAGATAAGTGAAACTAGGTTTTTGTTAAATTGATAACTGAAGAGTTTGTATGTCTGATCTATGGATACACTTAGGAAGTAAATGCCGTATTACTTGAAGCGCTGAATATGTCTGCCTAAAAAGCCAGTTTTTGTATAGCGCAAAATAAAACCCAGAAAGGTTAAACAACTTTGTAGTGAATCTTTACCTATTAAATGTAGACACTCTGAATTCTGCCAGTTCCACTTCAATTTATAAGTAATCTCCACTCCTAGAAATCATTTAACTGCAAGACCTACCTCTTAAACTACTTGAAGAAGATGGTTCAATTTAAGCATTAACCAATCACCTTCACTACATGATACCTACATGGCTCTTATTTTTGTGCATACTGCAGCATGAGCAGGTATATACTGTTCATTAGATGCTTAGAAATCTTACAGGATTTAGTATGCTAGAATATTACACTTTTCAAAATATAGAATTTTAAAATTTTTTGTAGCTGCAAAAAGAAGATAATTTCTAAGACACAGTAACATATCATTCTCTGATACTTAAAGTGAAAAAGTATAAGATGTAGATCTTTGTAGTATTAAGCATTTATATTTGATGTAAAGCTTGTGTCTCGTTCTCCAGCTAGTGTTCTGTGCATCTGGAAGTTGGCATTTTAATGATTAAAGGATTATCTGAAACTCAAGATAAGAGTGATTTCTCAACTGTTCAAATACTTAATCACAGACGAACCGTGAACATTTAATCCCAGTAAGGTAGCCAGAAAGATAAATTCACATGATACTAAAGCATACATAACACAACAGCTAAATAGTGTGAGTGGGTTACAGGAAGAACACGATGTCCATCCTTACTAGGAGTCATAGATCGGCTGTGGTATGTGTTTCTGGTTGGACTAGCAGATTAGAAACCTCAGAGTCTTGTAGAGGAAGGTATGGAGACTTGTTACTTTTAAACTGTCTACGTACTTTAAAAATAAAGTGTGTAAGACTACACAGTTCTAGAGTATCTAAAAAATCGTTGTCAGTAAAAGTTAAATTTATTTTTCACCTCTTGCTAAAAATCAGTCCAAGCTTCCAGTATACAGCCATCAGACATTCGATTCATGCTTTACGCTTATCTGGTCTAGATTACGAAAAAAGAAAGATTATTTCATTAAATGCATTTCTGTAAACTTGATTACTTATAGTTTATTCATGTTTTGTGATCAGTTTTCTAATCAACAGGGAATGTTGAAGATCTGAATAGTAGGTTAAATTCACGTATCAGCCAAATCTTGTACCTTAGTTAGACTATGTCCTCTGCTTCTGTATATTCCCTCTTGCCAAGTGCCTGTTTGTTTCCTCCTGTTTAGATTTTTCCCTCAGTGTTGCTCTAGTGTTACTGCCTGAATCTTGCTTTGGACTGGAGCATACTCAGTTCTGGGGGGCTGCAAGATCTCTGTTCAGATATGAGGTGCATGAAACTAGACTGATGCTCAGAGGAGAAGTTTTTTTGGAGTGTTTTACTGTAAAACACTCTGTCTGACAGCAGATTTCTCAGGAGCTTGCAATTTTAGCAAGTTACCACCAAAAATCAGACTAATCCAAAATATGAAAATACTAAAACTTGCTAATAAAATGCTTATACAGACACTTGAATACATTTAAAAGAAAAATATCTGTATTTTTCTAACCTTACTTCCAAAAACTATTATTTTGGCTGCAACTTTCAGCTTGAGCAAACATGGGAAAAAGTAGCAGCCTAAATGGTTATCAGACTTGATTAGTAGGTGAGTACTGTATTCTTATAACAAAGTGAAGGACAACCCAAAATATATTACTCTTCTGTAATCTCCATTTTTGAAGTATTTTTCTTTATTACAGAGTCAACTGGAAGATGGAAAATGAATTGATATTTTTAAATCAGAGCATTATGGAGATAGAAGACTAAAAAACAGGGACATATTAAAGATGGAAGTTGATTAATAACATGAAGATTTTTTTTTTTCCTAGACATTGCCAACTTTTCCTTATTAGAGCTGACAAGAAATTTCAGAACTGGTTTCTTTTTCAAAAAGTTGAGTTGTCTTGAAAGCTCAATTCAGTACAAGTGAAATGAAGGCATCATTCTGTTATGGGAGGACTCATGCAAAGTTTATAGGGAAAGGAAAGGAAAAATCCTCCATGTCATCAGGCTTGAAATAAAGTTGCCAGAGCTGACTGTATGAGAATGTCTTGCCGATTTGTTTCTCAATCTTGTAAGTGACCTTGGCTTTCTGTAAATTAACCAAGGTCTAGAAAGTAAACTCTTCTGTTTGCTTTTTTTGTTCTGTAGATCACATATGGGACTTTAAATACCTTCTGGTCCAACATAGTTCTGTCTCGGGTGACTTTGAACTGCACACAACTCCATGGTCATCTTATGAGTGCTTGTTTGATGATGACAAAAGGGCAATTGAATTTAAAGAAAAGTTTCAGAAAAGCAAAACATCCCTCGTGCAGATGACAAAGCTCTCAGCACATTTGGAGGAAAAACGCTCAGGTAAAGTTGTTATCCATAGCTCTGTAAAGTCTGTTGTGCAGTGCATAACTAAGCAAAATAGATGCTCTGTTGATCAAGTAAAATGCCTTTTTTTTTTTTTTAAGTTAGTACAGTTCTGGGAGCCTGAATTTATTCTGGAGGCTGCTGCTCAGTACCCAGCCAAACTGTGAACGCAGCCTTCATTCAGTGAGCCCAGAAGTGAGATAGGTGTGGTGTTTGGTACCATACAAAGATAGCTTTGGAACATCGGGAGAAATGCTGCCTTTTGTTGTCCACACTAACCAATCTAGTAATGATGTGATTAATCACGGAAAGTTTGTCGAATAGTATTTTTCCAAAACTGGAATTCTCTAAAGCAAGAGTAAAATAGCTACTGCTATTGAAAACTTCTTACAAAAGAACAAAGAATACATTTTACACAAACAGTCACCCCCTCCCAGATAAACGTAGAAGATAGCGAAGGTTTGTGTTAAATGTTAAGAAGTAACTAAATAAAGTTGGTATTGCAGCATTTAATTCTAGTTTATGTATAAATAGTGGAAAGCTAAGTTGTTAAAGCTATGCTTTTCAGTGTCTCTGAATTAGCGTGGAAAAAAAGCAATTGGAAATTATTTGCACAATTCTAATCTCTTGATCTCTTATTCAGGCTCTTCTATATTGGTATCTACCACAATAGTACCTAAAAATGTAGTACTTTTATACATTTTTAAATAATATTTAACCACAATGATTTTTCACTGCATAAATCATCTCTAAAAATATGAGTGTGTACTACTAAAGGAAAAAAAATCCATAAAGTTTTATTGGTAATGATTTTGGTTTTGAATCAGCTGTAGCCCTTGCTTTTAGTTATCGATAAAACTGAGTGCAGATTTGATTGCAATTGTTGTTTTTGTAGGAGTGGTTAAAGTGAAAGCCCGTATCTTAGAACTGAAGTTTACCATTTCAACTGGTCAGTACAAGCAACTCATCTTCCGTGCTGACACTTCCCTGGAGTGTGTTTTGGCTTCTCTGCCTATGATTACGTATTCAGGTTGTGCTAAATGTGGTCTGGAACTACAGGCGGATGAGAACATGATCTACAAGCAATGTATTAGATGTTTGCCATACAACAAAGTAAAAACATTCTACAGGTAAACAAAATAAAACTAAAATAATGTGTGCTATTAGGGAAGTAAACTACAACTTTCTCCATTTTAAGTGCCCCCATATAAAAAATTCTATATTTAAGGTGTGGTTAGCAATTCCTATTCTTCTAATGAATTTTCAAGGAGCTGTTCTTGAATTGCTGTATTATATTGCCATTATTTATAGGTGATATTTTTTGTTTAAATCTAACTTCTAAATTTCTTTCAATACTACGTCATACGAGGTTTACCCAGTACTGTGTCAGTAAGCTAGGATGGAGTTAGAAGCTTGAGGACCAAGGGAAAACTCCTTGACCGTCTTGTTTCGGCCTAAGTTGAAATCGTGTGAACGCGCAGCCATATTTTTAAACTGATCAATCAATTTTAGCCTTGCAGAAATAATATTAAGAAATGTTTTCAATAAACATTCTCATAGGGAGCAGGGATACTAAGTTATCAGCAGATGGCACTGTGAGACAAGATGCATATGCACATTTACTTAGAGAAAAGAAACTAAACAGATCCAGTTGATGTAGGGACAACATTATTAACTATTTGTCAATTCTTGAATTTATCTTGGGCTTTTGAAATGTAAGTATCATAGCGATTTGAAAGATGTGTAGGTAGAGAAGGTTGAGACAATCATAGATGTAATAGAATTCTAGAATATGTAAATTTTCTACCAGAATTCTTTCTAAAATTATTCCTAAACTATTTCATAGTGAATTTAATGAATCATTGCATACTTTATAGTTTCTCACTTGGCTTTGATTTAAATACTAGAATCCCACTTGTCTAACAAGGTAGTGACTTAATCTTTTTCCTCTATGCAAAATAGTCTTGCATCTTTAAGTTTATATGCTATTTATTTTCCTATGAGGGAGGATTAAGTGCAAAGAGTTGTTTTTTCTCAACTGAGAAGGTTCCCCCTCTCTTTTATAAGATTATGACCTCTCATGTGGTCCTGAAGGACCTCGATTTACTGTCTCGCATAAAAGGCGATAGAAAAATGATAAAGACTTCCAATGTTTGTATACTCAGCATGTGAACACATCTTGATGTGGAATTTAAATGCACAACTTTTTCAAGGAAAAGTCTGTCATCTTTGCACTGAAATTTTGCTCTGATTAGTTTAGTAAGAATGCATCTCCTTGGTAGTATTTCCAAATTCTGTATTGTAGGATAACTTAGTACATTTATATCTTAACAGGAGAAAAACCTGTCTCTTGCTCAAGAAACACCTTGTTAAAATGAAATTAACTTATTAACTAAATATGCTGTCCTAGCATTATTGTGCTACTCAACAGCGTGATATGTTAATGGCTAGTGTTAGTCTTGTTTATAAAATTGTATGCACAACTAGTAGAAAATTTTTTTTTTTCCCCCTGTAGTTTGCTAATTCATGTCCTCTTATCTCGGATTGTTTTTAATCCCTCAATATAAGGAGGTAGTAAGTTCACTATGCTCTGTTTTTAGCAATGCAATAGCTACCAGCATCTCCTTGGGAGTAAAATCTGCATATTGTTTTCTACTTAGTATGAGTAAATGTAACAATACTGAACACTTCTTAAAACATAGGATTAGTCTGTAATTTGATTTGCTTCTTTGATTCAGGGAATGTAGTAACTTGTTAACTTAACATGGAATTTTTTTTATTTTAAGAGTGTGAATATTTAAGATATGAAATAGATACTATGATAGGAAAATAGATATTATGACAGAATCTTGGTACTTAAGAGACTTAGAACCTTAAAATCTCCGGTTTCAATACTGTAGGTCAGTGAAGTCATCCCCTATCATCTTTTTCCTTTGAAAGGTAGGAGCCTAGTTTTGTTAATCTGCTGTGATTGTAATGAAGCTCATCTTTTCCTTCAGATGCTGAAGACAGAAGCTTAAGATAGATGCATGTGTATGTGCTTAGATAGCTTTCTTTTTTTTTTTCCTGTTAGATACCCAGAACGCTTTAACAGTAGCAGTAATAATAAGGTAGAAGATCCTAGAAACTTAGACTTTACATAAGTGCTGTCACATGATGTGTGTAAATATTTCCATATTCTTTTTGAGCTAGGACAATATGAATATCAAGCTAGAAGAAACCATGAAAACTAAGACAAGGAGAAATATTTTTTATTTCAGAGCTCACCTCCTAGATTTCAGATATCACAGATAGGTCCTTGTTTCTTTATATCTGTTTTTGCCCAAACTTTCAGTTTCCTCGCATCTTTTCCCTGGATTTTGGTATGATGGTAGCGTTCCCTTCAGATAATTCATTTTTCAGTCTATACCAACGAGTGTTTGTCATTTAAAAAGATGAACATTTTAACAGTAGCAGTAATGAGAGAGGAGATTCCTAGATGCTTATACTCAACAGGGATTGAATCTAACCCTTCTGTACTAGTGGAAAAGCCCATTTCACTGGCATGCTTCACCAGCTTTGTATACAGGTACTAAAGACTATTTACTCAGTAGCCTCTAAGGAATACCTTAGTAGAACTATGTATGCCTTCAGTGAAATTTAGTTATATCCTAAATATGTTTCTAACTGTTTTAAAATGATTTAAATTCATCATATTAAAACCAGTGGTATTTAACGAATAAAGTTAATCACAAAATTGCATTTTCTGTGGCGCTAGTAAAAGAAAATTAACAGTGCTAGGCTCTGTTTTGAAGGCTGTGTTGAATTTTCTTTCTCACCATGACAGTTCGCTCTTGTTGAAGTAAATAAGACTATCTGGAAGAAGAGTTAGATGACCTTGAGAACAGAGTATGAACTGAGAAACAGGTAGTCAGCATATAATAACCAGGAATGAGGCAAAATTTAATCTTTCCTAATGCATCACTTGCTTTGCGAGTTACATCTGTAGACCACATTTGCCTGTGGTTTTGAACGCTTTAAATTTTGAAACATCTCTTAGTACATTTCTCTGCAAACATATTTAATTATACTGTTTCCAAAATGTTAACTTAGTATTTCTGGAAGTCATAATAATCTTCATGTACTTCAGCGTAAATTCTCTGAACCAAAATACATTTCTTCAGAGATAAAATAGCAATTTCCCACAATTATTTGGGAAGCTGAGCATATAAGTGTACTATTGTTAAGACTTCTCTCATGAAGGGAGCCGGCAGTCTCTAATGACTGCAAATAGTCTGGGCTTGGTTTCTGTCTAAACCAACAGATTTGACGTAATCCCACAGATAGTCAGACATCGAGTTCTCTTCTCTCTTTTGATCACTTCACATAAGATTATGAAATTTAGCAGTAGCTTTTAGATTAACAGATGGCAAGTCAAATGATTTGCCTACTGGGAAAGTGGCATATTTGCAGTCATTTGCCTTTGTGCCTCACAGGTATTCAAATTAGTGCTGTTAGGTATATTCTGTGTCATGGTAACTAAATTAATCTATTAATAACACTTTCCAGTTGTCAATATACCGAAGTACTGGCTGACTGTCCTATTTGACAGTGCAGCTCTGCTAGTCTCTTGAAGTGACTGCCCTTCTTTCATTTCTGCCATCTCTGCAGTGAGCACGTTTTATCCTGTTGGGAGCATCTCCCATTGAAAAGTTCTGCACTGCAGATGATTGTGCCTTATTTTATTACTTTATTTAACATATACTGTTTTGGTACTGTTCCAATATTGCTATAACCAGGATTTACATTATTGTGATATGTCCTGATGTTTAATATTTTAGTTTCTTCTGTGGGATGGTCGCGATAAGAGCATTGCATCCTGCTTTGATCAGAGCAGTGCAGACTTTCTAGAAAGTGTGAGGATTGTGATGGTGCAGATGTTGCAGGTCAAATTGTAAATAGTCTCAGGGCAGTCAAAGCGCATATGTTGGGTAGAAGCTGCATCAGCTGTATAAATGATTAGGCTTAGTGAAATCACTCAGAAGCTTGAAAGCAAGCAGAAACTACCTGTTGAACGTCACTGTAGAGGACTGCTAAGGTATCATCATCTCACAGAAGCATAGCAAAAACCAACAGCAAGGATGTACTTGGGGGAACAATAAAGAAGGTATGGCATCAGTAATGACAGGTTGGAAAGAAGACAAACAATTGAAATACAGGGAATACCTGCACTAAAAAAAGGATCACTTCTTACCAGTTGCTTGTCGTCCAATATCACTTTTGAATCATGTGAAACAGCAAAATTTGGAAAGACCAGTGCTTATGGGACAACAGTCCCTAACCAGGTTCATTTCACACCTAATAGGAATGCTATTGACCATATCCTATGTAGGAAATCTTTTCCAGGAAGAAGAGGGATTTTTACTTGTATAGCGGTGTGTGAAACCATTTGGTATTTGTCACAGTACAAGAGATACTATCTTGGTATTATGTAGTGGCTGTGAAGTGGTGTATTGAAACAGACAATATTAGCTGATGTTGATACAGATGATACAATTCCAAGTGATACACCTAAGCTTGTCTCCCTGCTTTGCATTTCAAATCTTTATGTACCCCTTGTATATTTGTAGGTACATATACTTACATATTAACATTTATACTTTAAATATATAAAGTGCAAAGCCATAAATGACATAACACTAATTTCATAACAGTGCAGTTCTCATTGTCTTCCAGGAAAAGACCACTGCTAAAGCATTGTTTTCTGCAGTTGTCTGAAAGTAAGGCTTACTTGATAGCTTTAGAAGTTATTTAACATTGAGTAGTAAATTCAGTGTGTATATCTCAAACTCATTCCAACTCTACAGATTTGACAGAGATGAGTGCATAGAGATTTTTTAGCTTTTCTAGTTCTTGGTGTTATGTCGGAGGGTAATATCACATTGTATTACCTTCATTCAGAAATTCTGCTTCAGTCAAAAAAAAATAGCAGCTAACTTTCAAGATTCTTTTGTTTTCTGATCTAGACCTGCTTTGATGACAGTAGAAGACGGAGGATATGAAATTTATGTTCATGTCGTGTCTGAGTTGATGGAAAAAATCTTCCTCAATATTCCTGCAGACTGGCTGAACAGATTAGTAGGTACTGTTTCATGAATTACTTGTAATAGAAACAGGCAGCAAAGTTCACAATGGAAGTAAAATTTTTAATTATTGACAATTTAGAATTGGAATGAGATTGTTCTGGAAATACGATGATTGCTCATATTCTATGAGACTTACAAATAATAAAAAAAAAAAACCCTCAAAGAGAAGAGTTGCTGTCCAACAAACTCAGAAGTTCAGAGTTGAGGTAGCAACAAGAGGTGAGACGGTATGAACACTTATACATTATGTAATAAGTATTCAGTAATTAAATGGATTCCTTATATGCAAAATAGAATCTCTTAGCAGTTTTTAGAAATAGATGATATGCTTTCATGATGTAAATAAACTGAGTGGTGTTTCAGACAGGCTTCCCTTGATATATCCTGACTGACTTCTTGAGAGGTGTTTTACATCGCTCACGTGTTACAGTTTAACGAGAAACAGTCTTAGCCCATTGTTTTTAGAAAATTATTAAAAACAAAAGCTAATTTTCTATTCAGATGTTGCGCTACGCTTCTGGTAATTCAGTGTAGCTTTCGTGGAGGTGGAACTTGAATGTTAGGTGCTATTATGAAAATAAAGAGTAAATTGGATTGTTCCGTCTTTTGCAGTGCCCTCTTCAGATATAACCTACAGCACAGTAGTAGCAGATCTGTGTCATTTGCTGCTAGCAGATACGGAAGCATCCTATTTGTTGGAAATTAGGAGCCATTTTGTGCTAGACGAAAACAGCTATCCTTTGCAAAAGGATTTCCATCTGCTAAATTTTCATCCTGATCTTTGAAGCATTGACCTCTGCAATAACGGAGTAACAGAGATCATAGGAACACGCAGATGACAAACAGAAGAAAAATGAATTAGCTCAAGGAAGCGAATCTCTTTAAAAATACAAGAAAGGATTTTGGTTTTAACTTATACAAAAAAAACCCAAAAGGACTGGTATGGAATATCTGCTAATAGTTTATACTGCTGCTGTAATACTGGTAAATTGTCATAAAGTATATTTTTATACATATATTTTTATCTTAATAAACTCTTACTGGGTGTCTGTTTTCCTTTTCTCCCCAGAAAAGTTCGCTAGTATTGAGAGACTGAATTTTTCTCAGATATGGCAGATTAGAGGCAGACAGCCACAATTCAGTAATATTATTTTAGTTATAAGATTTTTGTTTGTCTTAACCAAGTTACAGATAATGTACAGGATATGTCTTGGCTTGCTTCCCTGTTGTGGTTGCTTTCCTTCCTTTAACGGCAGAATTTCTGCCATTTACCCTCAGCAATTTTGCTGCCATTGTTTTCTCTTGAAAAACAGAACTGTCTCACTGAATCTAATCTTGTGTATCTAGAAGTTGTTGCACCAATGTAATTAAGAGGTTTTAAACAGTTTAAACTGGTGCACTCTTTCATGGACCCTTTAAATGATTTAATTGTTGTAGTATTTATTGTTGTAGTATTTATCCAGCATAAGCTGGCAAATAAACTTAATCACCGTAAGCCAATTTAATCAGTTTAACACTGGTCTGCAAAGTTTTCTCCCAACTTGATCAGATTTAGAAATGAATTTAATTCTTTTTAAAGTCTTAGTGTATTCTGATAGTGATTTTTATGAGTAAAAGACTGAGTAAATGACTGCACCTGACTTCATAAAGTAACAATCTCATAACTATTACTCTGTGAAAGCGATTAAATACATAGATCAGTATTTTTCTCTGATATAAACTGTGCCTCTTACTGAGTGTCCTGGTTTCGGCAGGGATAGAGTTAATTTCCGTCCTAGTAGCTGGTACAGGGCTGTGTTTTGGATTTAGGATGAGAACAAAGTTGATAATGCATGGATGTTTTAGTTGTTGCTAGGTAGTGCTTACACTAGTCAAGGGCTTTTTGGTTTCCCGTGCCCTACTGACTGAGCAGGCTGGAGGTGCACAAGAAGCTGGGAGGGGGCACAGCCAGGACAGCTGACCCAAACTGGCCAGAGGGACATTCCATACCATGGGACGTCATGCTCAGTACATAAACTGGGGGAAGCTGGCTGGGGGGGGCCGCTGCTCGGGGACTGGCTGGGCATCGGTCGGTGGGTGGTGAGCAATTGTACTGTGCATCACTTGCTTTGTGTATTATTATTATTATATTATTATTTCAATTATTAAACTGTTTTTATCTCAACCCATGAGTTTTTCTCACTTGGGCTCTTCCAGTTCTCTCCCCCATCCCACCGGGGCAGGGGGGCAGTGAGCGAGTGGCTGGGTGGTGCTCAGTTGCCAACTGAGGTTAAACCATGACACTGAGGCTGGCAGAAGCTGTAGGGTATGAATCATATTTGCTGTCTGGCTAGATCCTTGCAGGTCTTCACCTGCACTGTTCTCATTTAGGAAACCAGTTTCCACATACACCATTTCAGCTATCCTCAGGCTTCAAACTTGAGAACTGTTCTCAAAACTGAATTTGATAAATCAAGTTGTCAAATGTATTATAATGCAAGTAATATGGCTGTTGAACAGCTTTCATGTGCTGTTTCTTGGAAGTGGCTACTTAGAATTGAATAACCATGTTTCTTGGTGCTCGTTTGGATTCTGTTGTTGTATCTCATGTGAAACCAATTTGGGACTGCTGGGTTTTTAATGATGTTGATTAGAGCAATGTGTAAGCCGTGTGTTGTCTTGTATACCAGTAAAGCAGAAGGTAGTAATGTTTCTGATCAGTCTGGCAGCAAGAGAGAATCCTAAGGGTTATTGGATGGCTTTAAAGAAAGGAATTCTCAGCTGAAATTTCACAAGGTCGCTTACCTTATTTCTGTATTTACTTGTGTACTGATCAATCTGGTCAGATTCCATTGATGAAATAAGTTTGTGTAGCTCTGCTTCTCGTAGCAAACTTAGTCTTCTGGCTTAAGCCCTAGCCACCTTGTGATAAAATAATTCCCTGGTATTTTGTCTGTCTCTGACAGTTATGTCAGCGAGCATAGAAATGCTGATCTTACGCCAGCAAAATCAATCTCCTGCTGTGCCAAGATACCGGAGACTAGTGTAAGACAGCACAGTGACACCAAAAACTATGCTCAACACTAGCACCACTGGTGTGCAAATTGGGTGCCAACGGCAAGACAAAATCTCCAGAAGAAACGAGGTAGCCCCTTATACAAAGGAAACACTGCAGAGTCTCTGTAGGGGAATGGTAATTTCCACAACATCGAGCCTAGGGCAAGGCAGGAACCAGTCACAGAAGAGACTAATTGTAGTGTACTTATCTGATAATCAAGAATGAAAACTTACTCTTGCTAATGTTAATAAATTGTGCTAAATATAATATAGAAAATCACAGCTTTGTAAAAGGAGAATTTAAGAGGCTTGCAGTGATTGAATTTCACCTCACTAAAAGCACTTTTTATCTTCAGTTTCATGTGACTTGGCAAAAACAGGATGACGTTATCCTAACCCATCACCTTGCGGAAAGTCCTAAGCATCTGTACCTTTTATACCTTATTCTAACTATGCTTTGCTCCGTAGTGTCTGGTTCTAGAATGTGAATTTCTTAATGCCAGGGAAAATTATGTTGAAGGGAAAAGCAATTTCAGTGTTTGGATTAAGGTGAGATATTAGCGCCAATGCTGGTCCCGTACGAGTGAAAACATTCCAGAAGCGTTTCGAGTTTAGTAAGACTTGAAAACCAGACATCGATTACTTTAGAGGAATCCTAAAGACTGCTTTACATCCTGTCAATGCGTGGTCTCGTTAGGATGATTTGGTAACTTTGGGCGGAAGTCATGCCATCTGGATTGGTGAGTGCGTGTGGCTAACCACCAAGTTCTACGTGCTATGGTTAGGTCTCTCCAGATGACTCGGACCTGACTGCTTTGTTCTCTTCCCGTGATTTTTTCAGATCACCACTCTGGCTCTTGTTTTAACAGTATTCCTTCCTGAAATCCAAGCTACAAACATGACACCATAGTTCAACGTTAACTTTAATAAATTTACCGTAATTCTATAGTTTCGTTGGTTCCTATCTTCACTTTAGTAATTCTGTGTAAAATTCCCAGGTCCTGCTGCCTTGTGTTTGCCTTTCTCCTTGCCTGTCGAACAGGAAGCCGTTTCACGTTCTGTGCCTCCATCTGGCACGGAGATTTCTTCTGAAGGAGCTTTCTGATCCTTTACCGCCCGTAATGCATCTTGCTCCCTTTCAGTTTCATCAAGCTGCTGCTTTTAGAGTGTTATATTAGGAGCAAGCAATTATCAAATAAATCCTTCTGGTCCCTCATTTCCTCACTTAGAGGAAGGATAGAGTAGTGCAGACAGGAGCAATCATTAGGCTGCCTAAATGACTAGTATAGACATAATTTTAACTGGGAGAGAAGGTAAGGTAGAGAGTGATCCACAAGGCAATATAAATAAATACTCTGCTTGAGTAGTGGTAGGGCTGCTTCTTCAAGATCCTGTTCTCTAGAGCAAGAATGTAACCGTTACTCATGTCTGTCCTAAAACGGTGGTAAATTGCTGCTCACTGTCATTTGATGGGGTTGTACTTTCATTAAGTTACATGCTGGATTTATTGCAGAGCTTTAGAAATTCCTGTATTTGTCAATAGTAATGGGAAGTATTGAGGAAGGTGTCACATTTTATATGATCTTGTATCTATTTCTTGTATATTTCTTGGGTGGGGGTTTCCTGTGCTATGCATCTTGGTAAAATTTTAAAATTTTTTAGAGGAAAAGAAGCACTGTTCGGCACTGAGAGGTCTTGTAATCATTCCTCCTCCTTCATCTCTATGTAAAGTCTCGAGCACAAGACGAGATGGATGATCCATAAAAGGCAGTAGGTAAAAAATTTGCTTTGTTGTGTGACAATTGATAACACTGTATTATAACTCCTTATTTAATAATGTTTCTTGCTTTACTGGAATAACTCTCTTGTTCAGGAAGAATCAAAAAGGACCTTTCTCATTTACTTCACTTGGATGACCTTGAGCAAAGTCAAGTACTTTGGTAAGTGCATTTAAATGTTTCTTCATAATTTTAGCTGGAATTACTGAACACACAAACTGGAAGTATTGGTACTTTAATGTATAAGAATGTATAAATCATAAAGAGGGATGTAATGTATTTGGTAAAATTGCTTTATCGTGGTAATGTAGTTATCATAGAACTTACATATAGTTTTCTTTCCCAGATCGAACACGTTGCCTATTAGATTGGTTTTGTTGGAGTAAAATTTGAAAACAGCTCTTTGGGGTTGGGGGTGCTGGCATTACTCATTTAACAGAGATGTAATTAGGGTTGAACCTTTTGTAAAATTCAATTAAATGTAATGAGTCTAGGCTCATCTTATATCCAGTGGTGCAGTTAGCAAGGGAGATGGAGGGTACCACGTAACATTTCAAATGGGGGATCAGGTGAAATGGAGTCTGTTATCTTACAATTCCTCTCACATATATTCTCATTCATAATATTTCCTTTAGATAATAACAGTATTATCAAAATGGAAAGTGTTCTCATCTCCCCAGAGAAGCTTCATTTTTTTAAAAATATATTGAATTAATTAATATTGTATCCTGTTTGAAAGGAAGATGGCTTTATTTCAGCTGCAGAGATTATGGTCCTCTTGGAACATAATTGTACAAAATGTTTTGCTGCAATAGTCTGTGTGTCTGGCTTATGACTGTACGGCGTGAAAGGTACAGAGTTCAGGTCCCCAGTGAACAATCAGGAGGAGAAGAATGTCCTATTTATTTTATTTTGATTAAAAATAATGGCTCCAAATTATTTTACAGAACAGTAAGTTACTTAGCGAAGAGAACTACCGCTAAAACAGACGTATGTCCTGGGGGCTTAAGCTAATTGGATTTTCAATGTAAGAATGGTCATACTAGGTCAAACCCAAGGTTCTTGTAATCAATGCTCTGTCTCCAGCAGAGACGTGTTTAGGGAGAAATATCTAAGGACAGGACAGGTCCCTTGTAGTGCTTTCTCAGAGTACTCCAGTACTCCTGCAAGCCTCCA